GGGGCTGGGCACAGCTCTGGGGTCACTCCTGGGGGCTGGGCACAGCTCTGGGGCTGTCACTGGGATCACAGAAACAGCAGGGCAGAGTCTCCCGTGGAATCACACACAAATTCCAGGTCCTGCTGTGCTGGCAGACACCTGGTCCTGTGTGTGACAAACCAGCCCAGGGAGGGACGTTCTAAAGGGTCCAAAGCTCTGAATACACCAAAGAGGCCTGCATTGTCAGGGGCACCCTGAACAGCCCCCCAGGATTTGGTCACGGCCCCAAGGCTGCCAGAGCTCAGGGAGGGTTTGGAAAACACGCTCAGGGATGGGGTGGGATTTTGGGGTGTCTGTGTAGGGCCGGGAGTTGGATCCATGATCCCTGTGCGTCCCTTCCAGCTCAGGATATTCTGTGAAGTGCTGCAGGCAGCTTTAAATGCCACACCAGAGCTACACCAGCTCTGAGCCCTTGTTTTCCATGATGATTCTGATGATTATTGGGGTAAAAACAGGGCAGGCTGGGCTCTTAAACACTCACCTGTGGGCAGGACTGTGACTGCCCAGGTGAGCTCAGCACCCGGCTGTGTGTGTGCCACCCCCACCACTGAGCACCCCCAGGACACAGCTACAAGTGCCACACAGACACCTCCTCATTTATGAGGAGAGAAATAAGGAATGGCCACTATTTATTAGCAGGAAAGGTGGGCTGTGCTGGCTGCCCTCCCAGCTGGGCACGAGGGGGGGGCTGTGCACACACAGTGCCCACAAAGTGCTGCACTCACGGAGCAGCACCTGAACTGTCACAGGAAGGGCTTCACTGTTTCCTCAGTAATGATTAGGGAAAAAGGGAAAGGCTTTGGGGAGGCAAAAAAGGGCTACACTTCGTTACAGGGGAGATGCTGCAGTTTTAGCCACCCTGTACAGCATCTGATCTTCTCTGTGCAGAGCACTGTGCCTGCAACACCCACTTTTAGCTGGGCACTGTGTGTTCACACACCCCCAGAGCCCACAGCTGCACAGCTCTGAGCACCCACAGCTCCAGAATTCATTGGGAAGGGCTGGCTGTGTACTGGGAAAGGAGGGGGAAAGGGCTGCGTTGGTTATTACTGGGAAGAAGAAGGGCTGCAGTGAAAGGCACAGCAGGAATCTCTCAGTGTGTGTGTGCAGCACTTCAGGCTCTGTGTGTGCACCAAAGCACCAACCCAGTGCTGCACACACAGAGCTAAACTGGCTTGAACTGGGAAGGGAGGGGGAAAGAGGGCTGCACTGGTTATTACTGGGGAAAGGAAGTGTGAACACTCACTGGGTGCAGGCACAGCACAAATCCTGTCAGTGTGTGCAGCACTGAGTGTGCTCAGACACCACCAGAGCCCCCAGCTCAGAGCTGCACACACTTTTCAACTGGTTTGAACTGGGAAGGAAGAACCCTTCCCAGTCCCAGTGTGTGTGTCCAGCAGTGACTCTGGGAGACACCCGTGAAGGTTCAAGTGCCCCGGAGTGCCCAGCTCTGTGCTGCTCACCCTCACTCTGTGCCCTCCCCAGTGCCCTCCACACCCTTCGTGCTCCCCTGGGGTCCCCCCTGGCCCCCAGCCCCCTCACCTGGTTGACCATCTGGTGCTGCTGCACTGTCCTCTTCTCCCTGAACTCCTCGGACTCGATGTGGATCTCGTACATGGCCCCGCAGCCTCCTGAGAAACGACAGGGCAGCAAATCCTCCAGCAAAGAGGAGGGATTGCTGTGCCCCCACAGCCCCGACCCGCCGGGGCTCTGGGACAGGGTAACTGGGAGGATGGAGGAGGAGAACAAGGAGCTTTACCTGAGATGTCCATGACCTTGATGGAGGAGGCCCTGGGGAACCTCTCCCGCAGGACCCGCGTCAGGCGCGACTCCCCCTCGGAGCCGGAGCTGAGGCTGCGCCAGGAGCGGCAGCGCAGGAACAGCTGGGGGGGACAGTGATGGGAGACTGGGGGGCCCTGGGGGACCCCAAACACACACACACAGAGTGGGGGGACCTTGGGGGACTCCAAACACACACAGAGAGTGGGGAAACTTGGGGGACCCCAAACACACACACACAGAGTGGGGGGACCTTGGGGGACCCCAAACACACACAGAGGGGCTGGAGACCCCAAAACCACACACACAGGGGATGGGACCCCCTGGGGGGACGCTGAACATACACAGGGGGTGGGAGGACCCTGGAGAGACCCCAAACACACAGGGGCTGAGGGGACCCCCT